TATGGTTGTTCATTTAATTTGTGACTAATTGGAACAGGAGATGATCAGTGTTATTAACTTTTTTTTTTTTTGTGAGGGGAAAATCATCGTATGGCTTCCCCCGCCCAGGGTCAGGCGAGAGGGAGTGTCAGACTCTTACTGACTAAAAACCCCCCTGTTCCTTCTCCTGCTCTGTGCCGAGGTCGCGGTGCCTCATTGCGCTTACCCCGCAACCCCGGCTGAACATCAGCCCTATAGGGCCCCGTCTGTGGTGGTCTATTGGCTCTTCGAGGCGCGTGCGGAACGCTACGCGCCGTACGCTCGGGTCTGGTTCTGGTCGAGCGGCGAGCTACCCTTACTCGTCGTCCGCAGACCCGCGCTTACGGTGGCCGGAGATCATCTCTCGAGTGTTATTTATTTGCAGTTACTATTTATCGGTCATTATTTTATTAAAACAAGGATGTATTCTGAAAATGGATTGGTTTAGAAATACTAGAGTAATTTTGTAAGAATATTATTTCTGTGTGTAGTCGATTTTAATTGTAACTGACTGATTGAGTACCACCGTTGAGCTTTTGAAGCTCTTGAGTTGAGGCCTTGAAACAAAAATTTATGTAGAATCTGTAATTTTATACTCGCTTTCTATTTTAAAATATAGGTGATAGAAATATCTATAAGGGAATCTGAAACTAAATGATCTCTACTAGTCACAACAAGATTCTTATACATGAGCAACTTGTGCGGCGTGGCACCTTTGTAAAGAAGTATTCCGTTATTTTAATTCAATTTAATTAAGGGCACAATAATAATAATTTTTAATTTCTTTAATATATTTACGTCCTACGATCTAATAGGAGAAGTTATAACAAATAGCAGTTACTAAAATGCCTTAACACGGCTGCGAGCCGACCCTTTAATAAAAAACAAAGAATACTATCCTTAACCTTGGTAAGAACATTAAAAGGAACCGGATCTTCACTGACCCGTAGCCATTAGCCGAAGCTCGAACAAAAAGTCAGACAAAAAAAATATAACTTATGTAGGTACAATAATTTTAAAGAATTATTTTGTTCAAATTAAAGATGCGTGCTCGTTAAATCTATATGTAACGTTATACTAAATATGTTTGTATGTATGTATATATGTGGTCGCATTACACAAATTCGGCTTCGAGGATTTAAGTTATGATTTTTCAATGGTTAGATAAAAGTTATCTGCGGAATAACTATGATGCTATCGCGTCAGAATGTTTTAATGAGACAGTGACAGCAACAATTTTATTCTTCAGATAACATTTATCTGATTATTGAAAAATCAGCCCTAATTGTAAAGACAGGTTATAGTCTGGAACAGTAGAAGTAGAACAGACAGAAGTATGTACTTAAAATTTTATTAATAGGACAATGAGTAGTATGCGTCCAGTCGTTATGTTTCGCCTATTTTTCTATGATAGGTCGACAAACGAGTTGGTTGATTACCTGATGGTAAGCAATCGGCGCCGCCCATGGACACTTGTTTTGTCTTTGCATGTTATTGAGAAGTGCCTAGTTAATTGCTGATGTTCTAACAATTAGCTAAAAAAACACATTTCTACTTTTCTGATATATATTTAAATGACACACTACTAGACGTCGAACTACTAATACTACTAATGGATGTCGTGGTGGCCCGGAGGTTAAGGAGCCCGCTTCTCATACATTAGGGTATGTTTTCGAAACCTGGCAAGTACCAATGTGACTTTTCCGAGTTATATGTACTTTCTATGATTATTTAGACACCACTGACATAGACGGTGAAGGTAACCATCATAAGTTTGTTTGATTAATGCCCTAACCTTCTCCGTATGAGAAGAGGCCTTTGTTCAGCAGTGGGCACTTATAGGCTGATGATGATGATGATGATGATACTACTAGACAGATCACTAGTTAATAAGCGATGCAACACCAGAGGAGCTACAAGATTAGTGTCGTTAAAAGTAATCAACAATTTACTTTTAAACTTTTATTTAATAAAAATCCGAGGCGGATAAAGTCGCGTACACTTCTAGTATTGATATAATTTGTAAATTTTGAACATTCTTAGTCATTAAGTAATAGTTATTTTAATCGGCTTCAATTTCTTAAACGTTTCTTAGTGAATCGTTACTACAATTTATCAGTAGCGTGTTTTTATGTATATTTTATTCAAAATTACTGAACAAACAGAACCTTGAAGTAGAAAAAAAAACAACTTTTTAGAAAAAAGATGGACTAAATTATAATAGTATTTTTTAAATATACTTTTAGTGCAGATATTATATGCAAAGGTACACAATATAATGTTATTCTTCCAGTCAACTTAGGGTTTAGTGCAAATTCATCAAAACTAGGCTTGTGTAAAGTTAATAAATATAAATTATTATGTATTTCAAAAGAGATTTTTGTCCTAGGTGTCGGCAACCAAGCAGACGGATTACCTGATGGTAAGCAATCAGTACCGCCAATAGACACTTGTAATACCAAAGGACTGCATGGACATGCATTACTGGCCTCCTATGGCCTATTAGGGATTTGAGGAGTGAAGATGGAGGGCAGGGACAGATTGGGCTTCCAATAACCTTAACCACACTTTACACACAACTTTAAGTTATTACTGAATTTTCAAAAGTCTCAAAAATTGTCCGTTGTTAATGTGAAATATTTACTATTACAATTTAACTATAGTTTCCGTTTATTGCCTTCTTGTAACCTGGAAATCCACACGAATCACAAATTTGCTGTAAAACTTTACATTCAAATGGTGGCGAGTATACACTTGGTGTAATAGGTTCCAATATTACGGGTGCAAGTATATAAAGATGTCCCGTACCCTCAGTTCAGAGCAGAAGAAGAAACCAGGTGGTATTCATTCAGTTACAGTAACACTTCCTCTCGCCTTCTCTAGAGTAGTCTAGAGGGAGAGAAATCTGTTGATGAGTTTTCTCAAAAAAAGGGTAAGTATAATAGATTAGTAAAATTTTTCCATAAAAAGATTATTTATAATTGACAAGACTGTGTGTGTGATTGTGTAAAGTTTACACAATCACACACACACAACCAAAACGGACGTCTTTTATGCCTTTGACAATCACAAATACAAAGGATGACTGAAACCTAAAACGGCTAACTACAGGATACAGTGAAAGGCTAAACGTGGGATACAAAGTCACGCCCAGGCTCACAGGTGGCGCCGCAATCATTCTCACACACGACCGCTATTTATAATAAACGTGTAGGTTTTCTCACGATAACACATCAGTAATGTGACGATCAATTTATTGTTTGCTTTATTTAGAACAATAGATATGTTGCTAAATGTTCTAGTGTATCATTTTGTAGCAATATCCGTTGGCCTAACGTGTGTTTTTTGTTAATATTCATATGCGGTCGCTACGGAGGAGTTTCGCACGCAATTTCCAAGCTTTGTTTGTGTATTATAATGATGATTAGCCTGTATGAATATGGAGAAGGACAAAATAAAAGATAAAAAATGATATTTGTATCATCTCAATTACTAACAAATAACACACAATAAAAATGGAAAAAATTTTAATCAAACATTATCAAGTTCCATGTTTCCAGACAGATACTTTACTTATAAAATCAAGAAGGTTGCGTTGCGTAGTCTTTCCGAAATTCCTGTGACGCATTTATAACTTCTCTGATGCTGCCGTTGTCCATAGCGTGGCGCTGAACTCCAATTATCAAAAACCGCCTGACGGTCTGCTCGTTAACAGCGTCTGTAGTGTCAGTAGAGTAGTGGTAAAAAACTTATGAACATTTTTTATTTTTATCATGAGCAGACGGATTACCTGATGTAAGCATCAGCACCATGGACACTCATAATATCGCGGTTTCTCCCGCTGCTCGGCTCCTTTTGATCGTAGCGTGATGTTTTATAGCCTATAGCACTCAAAAACATTGTAGCTATCTATCAGTGAAAAAATTTAGGAAATCCGACCAGTGGTTCCAAAGATAATCATACGAAATACTATTTGTATTTCTTACCCTAAGAAAAGGTTTTTCGTTAAAGATACAACGAATCGCGCCATCTGTCTTTCGGTTGTAACACAAATCTGCTTCGTTTATTTGTAAGGCAAGCTAACAGCGAGCACTCGCTTAACTTATTCAAGTGTAGATGGAGCTTTTAACCCTTCACAAGGTTGGTTCGAGAAGTCCAAGTTTCGGTGACAAATTTATATTTCTGTTTTCAGTTGCTTCCCCCATATACATATGTTACACAAAATTGTATCATGTTGGTACATAGGTGTATGCATTAAACAGAAAAATTGCACCATCTAACTTGATATAAGAATCTTCATTATCGCATTTAAAAAAGATCCATTTTATTTATAAATCGTGACTAGATTTCAGTTCAATACTTTAACTTATGTAATTTGAATGTTCTGTTTATGTAAATTGAATTCATTTTTAAATGTATGCAGTAGGTATGTTTTTATGTACCGGTGTATGGGTAAAAGGTTTGTTGATCTAGATAATTTTGGTCTTGACATTTATGATAGAGTAATTACATACTTACTCATATGTGAAGCAACTGTAATAATATAGGAAACTGTAAGACGATCCCCTTGAATAAGCTTAGTGATTAATGTACTAATTTAAATTCAGTTTGGACTAATTTGCAAATATTTGGATGACCTTTTTATTGCCCTGGAGGTACTCTTTGGCATTAATTGTTGAAGTTGGTTGATTTTTACGAAACCTTTTACTATATGTGTATATACATGTGTCTCTATGCGTATTATAAAAAGAGCTCATAATATAAAACATTAGAAACCAGATGAAAACAGATTTACAGAGTAAATTTAAATGCCATTTTCTCTTCAAGTAGTAGTCATTGAATGTATGTCTGTTACAGAAGTTGACTAAACGAAAAATTGCGATAAAACCATGAAAACCAAATAAAATGAAATAAAACTCTTTATTAATTTTCAACATTGCTCATTATAGAATAACAGAATAAATATTATCAGCTTTTATCATTCATTTGTAATGGTAACCAGTTTTAGGGTCAAACCTCTGGGGCTGTTTGGGACCACTAAAATCTTCACCGATGACCCTCGGTTGTTCTCCAGGGCTTACGGTAGACTGTTGATTACCACTAAAATAGGGTCCATTGTTCGATCCTTGAGTTGCGTAATTAAATCCAGGTCCAGTTCCCTGATTGGATGGTATTGGTCTTCCAAATCCATCAACAGGTCCACCTACATATAAGTTTTCTGTTTTCTGGAATCCGGGACGATAAGTGGTTGTTCCCTGTGATGGAATAGTAACTTCAGTTGGGTTGTAAGGACCAGGGGTAGTACCTATGGTTGATGGTGAGTATGTTGTTGAATAAGTAGGCCTGGAAGGTTCATTTTCATATCTAGTTGTCCCTTTGTGAGTGTTGGGCAATCCTGAGAAATCATAAGTAGCAGGAGTTCCTTGAGTGGAAGAGGTAATAGTAGAGGAGTAATCAGAAGTAGACGGTTGGTTACGGAAATTTCCTTGCGGATCTACAACCGGTGATTGGTTAGATGTGGTAGAGCCATAGTAAGATGGAATAAAGTTATCTTGTCTTCCTCCAACGGAAGGTCCTAATGTAGTACTGGGGAATCCACCGGAACCCTGATAAGTAGTCTGATATGGACCCGTCGGTGAAGTCGACGACCTGGAGTTGTCAGTTGGAGTGAAAAATCCGGCATCGGGACCATATGAAGGATTGCCAGATTTAGGTGGTCCATAGTGATAACCAGCATGGAACGCACTATCTTGGGTAGATACAGGAGATCCAGTTGGACCAACAGGGAAACCAGATGGCCCAACAGGGGAACCAGTTGGTCCAACAGGCAATCCAGCAGGTGTAACAGGGAATCGAACATCAGATCCTGGCTGGTATCCAGAAACTGAAGGTGACGTTGTAGAGGAGATCTGAGAAGGTCTAAAAGTAGATGTGTAATAATTCTGAGGTGTTGACACGCCAGGGTTGCCTGCTTTTGTACCAAGGTTGGAGGTATATCCAGATGTAGGGTAACCAGATACAACATTACTGTCAAAGTATTTGGAATTAGGGTCAGTTGATTGATAGCTATTATTTGCAGGGTCTGGCCTAGTTTGACCCAAAGATGACTGCGATACAGGCGTACCAACGGCTGTTGTGGACTCGAAACTAGGACTGGGCGGTCTAAAATCATCTGATTTTGTATTTTGAGGGGCTTTCGTTGTTCCAAATCGCGAGTTGTGCAATGGTACAGAAGAAGTTGGTCCGTACGGATATCTTGGAGCTACAGATTTTGTATTTTCAAAATTCTCTCTGTGACCAGGCTTTGAAGGTAGTTTTTGACTTATTTCTGTTTCTCGATCTTCTACAGCATATTGAGGCCTTGATTCTTTTTGAGTTATTTGGTAAAGTGAGGTGATACCAGATTTTTCAATTGGACTTTTGGTCGAACTGGTTCTTTCATCGTCAACATCTTGATCAGTTGCATAGTCATCATCTTTATAAGTGTATGCATTTTCTGAAAGTGATGTCACTTCTTTAGTCATAAAAGGTCTTCTAGTCGATGAAGGACTGACTTTTTTATTTTGTTCATATATGTTTGGGGTGATAAAGGGTTTTCGAGTGGTTCCTTCAACATTTTCAATATTACGCTGATCAGGTTTCATTGTAGTTGGTATTTCTTGAGTCCTGAAACGAGTTGGGAATGTATTTTGTTCGAATTTCGTACTCGGTTGCTGATACTGATAGCCATCTTTGTCTTGGTGAGTTGTCTGTTGGTGTAGAGTTGGCTGCTTAGCAGCGTTTTCGATGTAATCTGAAATTGTTGATAAATTAGTATTTCCCTGTTTATCGTTTCGTCTTGGGAACTTTTGATTTTCACTTTGGTTGTTTAAGCCTGGTTGACGGTTACCGTTAATACGCTTTCTCGGATTTTGTTTTGTGTTTTCAACTTTGGGAGCTCCTATGACACTATCGTATTCCAAATCTTTATTTTCATCAAATTCATCAAATGAGTTAGGTTTACCAGAAACTATTTTTTTACCGTACTTGTCTTCGAAATCGACACTTTCAGTTTTTGGGTAGCTTGTAGAAGTGATATCAACGTTAGCTCCAGGGTATTTAGCTACTAAAGTATCTTTATCATTATCAGATGTTGGGCGACGTCTTAAAGAACCTTGATTGTTAGCCTTTGAACCTTTGTTATTGATTCCATCTTTAGCATCACCATAAGGTATATTTTTTCCATTTGACATAGGGTTGCCACTTGTAGTTCCTTGATCATTTTGGTTATTTACGCGATTGATTGTTCTTTGTTCTTCAACGAGCCTGCTGTTCCCATCAAAATCTTGTATCGGTTTACGAGAATTTTCTGTAATCCTTACGATGCCTTGATTTTCACCACTGTTTGTAGCAATAACTTTGTTAGATGGACCTTTCATTGTCAAGTTATTATCAGAACTTTTCTTAGTTCCACTCACTGGAATATCGAATTGATTCTGGGAACCTTCATCGTACTCTGTGTCTTTTATTCCAGTTATAGGCTTTATCAAATCATCGTTAGGTCCGTAAATTTTTTTGGTAATTGTTTTCTGGCTCTGGTTTTGTTGTCGACGATGTGTTGATGTTCCTTGGTATTTATCGTCACCATACTTTGTTTCATCGTATGAACCTGTAAATAAATCAGCGCACATTTAACTTTATATTTATAAACATAAAATGTAAATAAAATGATGCATGATAGAACATTATTTCGCTATTAAATGCAAACTAGAATACTAACATAAAAGTAACGTGCATAATAGTTTATTAGGTAGGCATTCATAATGATTGTATAAGTATTGACTGCCTAATATCTACGATAACACGTTTGTATTACAATTAATCCATAACACTTTCCTAGTATTTTTCTTAAAAGTTACTCTACACTTACCGTCATCAACTATTCCAGCTGCTTCATCTTTCGCCGCTTGCTCGATAACCCTCTGGATAGCTTCAGGTATGGGTGGCGGAGTTGGTAAATGATCACCACGAGGTTGGAAACCGTTTTCATCAGCAGTATAATAGACGCTGTATAACTTTCCATCATCACCAATGTAAGAATACGACCCTTGAGCCTTGGTGCCATTGTCAATAATAGCACTTTCATCAGCATGAATTCCGTTAGAAGTATCAAAGCTATAGGAGTAACCGTTTGGAGAACGAACATTTTCATAGTTAAGAATTACTGCGTTTCTATCAGCTTCAGCTTGAGGCCTTTCTGGGCGGTATACTGGCTTGACAGACGAATATCCAGACTTAGAAGATGGAACAGTTGGGAGTGGAGTAGTACTGGCAATACCGTTGTAATAAGATGGGGTAGATGTTGGCCTTGTGTGTCCAGATACGGCAGGAAGTTCAGAAGAGTACTGCGATACTTCACCATTATTAAAAGGTCCCTGATTTTGATACGAGGTTTGAGTAGGTTGAGGTTCTCCTACATTTATTGGTTGACCAGTGTAAGTTCCCTGGGGAAGTGGCCCTTGAGATTCATCATACTGAACGCCATTAATACTTGGTTGAAGATTGTTTGGAGAAACAGTTGATGGTACCAATCCTTGATTAGTTGGACCTTGAATAGGATACTGCACAAAGCCTTGGTTACCACCAGGGATGGATGAAACGCCTCCATTATTGTCCAAGTTTTGTACTGGATATTGATTGAATGGTTGGTTAGTGGGTCCAATAGGAAGTAAACTCTGTTGTGCATTACCTTGTCCAATAGGTAATGGGGCTTGGTTTTGGACAGGCAATGTAATTGATCCGGGTATTTGTACACCTCCAGGGTTAACCAAATTTTGGCCTTGATATTGGCCTGAAATTTGTTTTGTAGGTTGATTGAAACCTGGCGGTTGGTCGTAGTTGATGGAATTCGATCCTTGGGGAGTTACTCCAGTTTGTACATTAGTCCCATAATCTGGTTTATTACTTTGATTCGGACCTGGAAACTGCTGAACATTTTGCTGATCTTGGGTAAATCCAAAAGGAACATTTCCTTGATCCAACTGGAATGGAAGTCCAGTAGCAGGATTTATAGGTAAGTTACCAGGCTTGAAACCTTCAGTAGGTGGAAAGGTCGTTGTCTGGGAAAATGCATATGAAGTGGTAGTAGTTGGAAGATTTTCCTGAATGAAATTGAAAGGTACTTTTGGTATCTTATCACCGAAATTCACAGGTTCTCCATTTACTCCCAAACTTGTGTGGTATTGTTCGTTTCCTGGGATGGTTTGACCTATTCCTGATTGAGTATGATGGGGAGGTTCCAATGGAGCATCTTGATTTCCAAGAATACCTCCAGCAAATTGAGCACCTGGTGGTGGAAGGTAGGTATGATCCAGTTTATCGGAGGCTGCTAGGCCTATGGCCAGCGTAACCTGAAACAAGGGTAAAAAAAAACTTACTAAAAGTAGATAAATACTTGCTTTCCACAGTATTTATAATTCACAAGTCATAAACTGAAAATGTCACAGTAACTGCACTACAACTAATATATGCGCAACCGCCTACAAGTCTATAATTATTTTGCACTAAAACTGAACTTCAAAATTATGCACTACAAAGTCACTTTAAAACACTTTTTCAAGTCAAGTATTAAAATATATATTTTTATTATTGGACACCTACCAATAACCACTTCATCTCCATTGTTGTATCCTCACCAGGACTCACTTGAGATGTGTGATGATCCCAAAAAAACAAATGATATTTATACCACCCATAAACCTATAATAACTATTAAGATGTTCGTGGCTACGTGATGGACAGACAGCGTGACAATACCCTAATTGTTGCTGTCACTGCGTACAAACTTTTAAACGTATTTATTTTATTATTACATCACATGTCCAAATTATAGAGCCTTGGCATTTCTATAGGTAACACTATAATTTGTTGGTGACAAACGTTTTCTTAATGTCTGAATGTAACTTGATAGGTTTATTTGATTTCCAAGCACTGTGCCTGAGTTTTCTTAGCACAAAATTAGTCTTAAGTAGTCAAGAAATAAAAAAAATATTTTACAACATCACGTGGTTTTCAAGTAAAATGTATTTATTTTTTACTTAAAAAAAGACGAGGAACTACTTTTTGTAAAATAAGTTGCTGTTTGTCTTCGTATCGTATAGTTATAAATTAGCTTTACTTTCCGTGATCACATTCAGAAACAGAACTGATTTTGAATATAGCATTCCTGAATATCTCCAGACACAAAAGTCATATCACTAATTCACTTTTAAATTTTGGGGGATTAAAATCATCAAATGAGTTTTCACACCCAAGGTGATTCTCTCTTACTCACTAAAACCGTTCCGTTCCTCCTCCTGCTCCAAGCTAGGGCCACGGTACATGATTGGATATTAAACCGCAATCCCGGTTCAACATGAGCCTTGTTGGGCTCCATATGTGGTAGTCTGCAAGCGATTTATTCTTGCTTGTCGTGTCAGAAAGACAGAAAAATACAGAATTGTCTTTTCCACAATCAAATTAAACAACTTATATTTTGGCTCAAAAAAGTTGCCTTCACCTTCCAGCTATGTATCAGAGACTTCAAAATAGCTTCAATAATTTTTAATTAGAACAGCATATTAGTTAGGATTTGAATAGAGGTTGAATTAAGATACATTCATTGTGATTCGCTGTCACATCATGAAAATGCTTGATTACACGATATATAATGAATGATGGTTTTAATCACGATGTTAATATGTGTTTCATCATCTTCTAACTATTAAAAGAAGTTGATACGAGTCTCGTCATTATGATATTACTACATGAATTTTATTTTACACTAGATATTAATCTACTTATAGTCTGCCCCGTTGACCAAGCAAGCGATAATTCTTTCCAAAGGAAATTTCCAAAGGACCAGATTTCTTCCTGATGTTTTCCTTTACGTTTGCTATACTTTGAAAGAAAATATAACTTAGAAAATGTCACACTAGTACATTCCACATTTATTTACAGTTTTCAAAGACTCTATTTATCCTATCATTATTTTGTGAATGTTGGTTAACCTATAATTGGCAACTGTGTAAGTCCTAGTAATGAAAAAAAATTACTTTAAGTGTTATCTACACAGAAGCTATTGGTAAACCTTTTTATTAAATAAATAAATAAAAAGACTCTACAGTAATAGGTTTTCTGATAAATTGTTGATTTCCGCGGCTTTGCTCATGTAATCAGAGGAAGGGAGCCTACATCACTCTTCAGCCTCCTAACTATGTTCAGGAATCAAAACACCATTCTGACGTGAAAGGAAAACAAACAAATTAATTAAAGCACTTATGTCATTAGTAGTATATTAATGATGAACGAAAAAGTCATTAGTATTCACATACACATTATACACATAATTATAATAATTTGTATCGTAATAATTACCTATTGTCTTGGGAGGCGTGTAAACTAGAAGTAGATGGTCAAAGCAGTCATCAATCATAATGCAATGATTGGAGTAGTTTAGTGTATTACATTTCTAACATACTAACTATATTACTTTATGAATCATATACATACATAATTTATAAGGTAGTATTAGATATATGGAATACTAGCTTTAACCCGCGACTCCTTTCGCGTGGAAAAGTGACTTCCTGCAGATTTTTGGTATAAAAACTATCCTATATCCTTTTTCGAGTTCCAATTTATGTCTGTACCAAATTTAACATCACAGAAATTGGTTCAGTAGCTTAAGCGTGAAGAAAAGACAGACAGACAGACAGCTGAGTTACTTTCGCATTTATAATATTCGTTAGGATAGTTAGGATTAAAATTGCTATTCTTATAAATAAGTGCCTTAAACTGAGTTTGAATAGTAGTTGTTCTGCGAAATCTGGAATTTTATTGAGTGTAAAAAGAATACAGATATCATTTATATATCATACGCTACTCGTAAAAATATAGGAAATACACATTCAAAGAATTCTCACAGAATAATTTGATGTTAAATAAACCAATTTTTTTTATGAAACATTGCGCTACTCTAGGATTTTCTCCTGCATTGCATGTGTGTTTACAAATATACAATTCTACATACACATACCACCCAAACCCGAAACAACAACTTGTAAATCACACAAAGTGTTGTTACGTGCGAAAACCAACCCTGCAGTTATGCACTTTAGTCCATTACTCGAACAACAAGACCGCTAAAAGCTATAAAAAAAATCTTCTTTACTCGAAACATAATTGAATACAAAACCTTTCACTTATAAATTCAAACATCCGTATAAAATTTTCATCCGTCATCGTCTCATTCAAAAACTAAAAGGTCAGTAGAGGTCACTGGACACACGATCGGACATCGTATTGAAGATAATCGTTATTGTCTTTATAATTACTGCGCTGGCCGTGAACTGTGAACTTGCTTTTGAACGTATATAAGGTCTTGGATGGACTAGACACGCTGACATGAAGAGTCGTTTGACAGTCAATTGTTTGTCTGTGTTAATGAATGAAGTTTAAAGTAAATTTTTGTTCGAAGTGCAGCACAACCATGTCCATTCATGAGAGAGATACTATGGCTCACACAAGACTTGCATAAAGAAACGCTTGCGTTGTATTTTCCTGTGTGAGTGAGATGATCAGAGGCTCGATTTTCCCCAACCCCTATTTCCAAACATCCAATCGTAAAACCCTTAATCTCCAAGTGGCTTGCACCGCCCAAGTTACTCCTCTGATGGTACCATCAGAGGAGTAACAGTAACTGTGTCCATGGGGAATGCCGATTGCTAATCATCAATTAATTTATGAATTACTTACGTGTCTTTTTAGCGAGTGTGTATTAGTGTATAAGATATTTCGTTGTTAAGCCCCAACACTTTAGGTACGCAGCGGTGGACAGGTCGGCGGGGATAAACGGATAGAATGGACGAAAACTTTAAGTAGTTTATTATGATGTACACGAAAGGGGCATAGGTGGTTTTAGGACACGTCAGAGTACGGAAAACGAGCAAACGGACTACCTGATGGTAAGCAATTAGCGCCGCCCATGGACACCCACCCACAACACCAAAGAGGTGACGAGTGCGTTGCCGGTCTTTAAGGGGTAAATAAAGGTTTCGGATATTTAAGGATTGGGGGAGGAGCAGGAAGCTCCGCTTCCGGTATTCTCATTCACACGCCGAAACACAACGCTGTGGTTGTTTCATGCCGATTTTTTTTTGAGGCCGCGGTATCACTCCGGTTAAGCCGACCTATTCGTGTAGAAGCTTGGCTGACCCACTACTTTAAAAAAAAAGATGAAAACAATAAAATTATTGATGGCAATTCGTTAAAACTTTAGGCATTAGTAAATCTAGATTCTATCTATACTTACAATAAGTCTGTAGAGAGGTTAATTCTGTGCATGAAATGTATTTTCAAAATAACTATCAGTGGGTGATAAGTGATCAATACTGATGCCAAAAATGTAATATGTAAAATAATGGAAACACCATACTTATACATGAAATACGCTAAGAATGCGTGCACCTTTGCGACGCCATGCAGCAAGATAATCAGACTGTAAGGGCCGTTTAGTTATTTTACCCTCTCATATTGGGGTGCGTGCCAGAAGACCTCCCCGTGGTGCACCCTGGGTGCGGGCGACAGTCTCCCTAACGGGCTGGTGGCAGGGTTGGTTTGACTGTCGCCCGCAGCGAGTTGCAAGTGGTAACGAGAGCCAAGGTGGCACTCGGACCCGTGGGGAGGCGCTGGTCCCGTCCAGCAAGTCCCGGGCAAGGGCACAGGGAAGGAAGGAGTCGGATTCTGAGTCCGACTCATCATTGTCTGGCGTCAGCATTGCGCTGCGCCACAAAAAAGACCGGGGCGTTTTCAAACGTCCCAGGCTGGAGGATGGCCGAGAGCCGACCTCCATCGAGCAGGAGGCCCCAGCCCCCAAAATCCCCACGGCAGCGCGGGGTAGGGGAAAGGGGAAGGGCTCCACAAGGGCGGCTGGGAGCCGCACTGAGCCGGCAGAGCGGCTGGCAGCGGAGGGGAGCGCCCTGGGAAAGGCTGCCCCCTCAGACTCCTCGGAGATGGAGATGTCCTGTGGTGAGGGCTCGGTAGGCGGCACTGAGAGCCTCCGCCTGCAGGTAAAGGAAGCACTCCGTATGCTGGCTGGCCAGAAGACCCAGGCTGGCAGAAACGGAGTGCTCCAGCATGCGGAAGCTGCTATCATGGCAGCGGCAAGCCAGCAGGGCTCAGCAGGGTGGCAGATGACCGCTCTGCAAAAAGAGATGGCCGCGATGAGGCGCGAGCTGGCCCAATTAGCAGCTGCTAACTCTGCCCTGGAGGCGGAACTCCGGGCGGCAAAGGCGGAGCTCGCCGCTACTCGTGCGGGTCGTCCCCAACCAGCGCAGCCAGCGGAGGCCGATCTTCTTGGCCTCATGCGGCGGGAGATGGCTGCCTTCCAGCAGCGTTTCGACGCCCTGGAGGGTAGGCTCCTCCGACCTCCGCTCACAGCTGGCACTTACGCAGCCGTGACGGCGAAGAAAAGGGCAAAAGCGTCCCCTGCGCTGCCGACGAGGGGCCCTATAGCTGAACCGGCAGTGGGTCCTGCTGCCCCTCTGGCACCGATTGGCCGCAAGCGAAGGGGCGCAGCAGCTGAAGTTCCAGCCGTGGCAGCCCCAACCGCGCTATCAGAGTTGCGCACCGATGGCGGCGAG